TTTTCCCTCTCTCTCTCTTCCTCCCTTTCTCTCTCTCCCTCCCTCCCTTTTCCCTCTCCTTCTCTCTCTCTCTTCCTCCCTTTCCCTCTCTCTCTCTCTCCCTTTTCCCTCTCTTCCTCCCTTTCCCTCTCTCTCTCTCTCCCTTTTCCCTCTCCTTCCCTCTCTCCCTTTCTCTCTCTCTCTTCCTCCCTTTCTTACCTCCTCCTCTTCCTCATCATCATCTTCATCGCACACTTCTTCTTCGTCAATGCGATCTATTCCAAGAATTTCATCTGAAAATAAAAAGAAAATATTAAAATATAATAAACAATTTTCATTATTACTATTTTTTATCATTATTTTCTTACCATTATTATTTTTTTATTTTTATCATTATTTTTTTATCATTATTATTTTTATCATTATTATTTTTTATCATTATTTTTTTATCATTATTTTTATCATTATTTTTATCATTATTATTTTTATCATTATTATTTTTATCATTATTATTTTTATCATTATTATTTTTATCATTATTATTTTTATCATTATTATTTTTATCATTATTTTTTATCATTATTATTTTTATCATTATTATTTTTATCATTATTATTTTTATCATTATTATTTTTATCATTATTATTTTTATCATTATTATTTTTATCATTATTATTTTTATCATTATTATTTTTATCATTATTATTTTTATCATTATTATTTTTATCATTATTTTTTATCATTATTATTTTTATCATTATTATTTTTATCATTATTATTTTTATCATTATTATTTTTATCATTATTTTTTTATCATTATTATTTTTTATCATTATTTTTTTATCATTATTTCTATCATCATAATTATCATCATAAATATTATCATAATTATCATATAATTATTATAATTATCATCATTATCATTATTCATTATTATTATTACTATTATGATTGTTATCATTATTATTATTATGGTTATTATCTTCATATAAATAACCTCCTAATGATCTCATAAATCATTATCACTATAATAATCATTATAATTATTGTCACTATCATTATCAATAAATAATTTATCATCATCATCATTATTACCATTATCATCATTAGTGTGATTATTATCGTTATTATTATTATTATCACTATTATCTATTATTGTAAGAATAATTATTATCATTATCATTATCATTATCATTATCATTATCATTATCATTATCATTATCATTATCATTATCATTATCATTATCATTATCATTATCATTATTATCATTATTATTATTATTATTATTATTATTATTATTATTATTATTATTATTATTATTATTATTATTATTATTATTATTATTATTATTATTATTATTATCATTATTATTATTATTATTAATTATTATTATTAATTATTATTATTATTAATTAGTATTATTATTAATTAGTATTATCATTATCATTAATATTCATTATTATCATCATTAATAATGGTAAGAAAATAATGATAAAAGATAATCATTAACATCGTTATTATTATTATCATTACTATTACTACTACTATGATAACTACTATAACTATTCCTATTACTATAATTACTACTATAACTATAACCACAACTACAACTACAACTATAACTATAACTACCAACTATAACTACAACTATAACTACAACTATAACCACAACTACAACTACAACCACAACCATAACTATAACTACAACTATATAACTACAGCTATATAACTACAACTATATAAATACAACTTTACAACTATAGCTATACAACTACAACCACAACCCCAACTACAAAACTATAACTATAACTACCAACTACAACCACAACCACAACTACAACAACTATAACCACAACTACAACTATAACTACAACCACAACTATAAGCAACCACAACTACAACTAGAACTAGAACTACAACTATATAACGACAGCTATATAACTACAACTATACAACTACAACCACAACCCCAACTACAAAACTATAACTATAACTACCAACTACTAACTACAACCACAACTAGATCAATACAACTACAACTATACAACTACAACTATACAACTACAACCACAACACCAACTAAAAAACTATAACTATAACTACCAACTACAACTATACAACTACAACCACAACCCCAACTACAAAACTATAACTATAACTACCAACTACAACTATAAGCAACCACAACCACAACTATACAACTACAACTATACAACTACAACTACAACTATACAACTACAACCACAACCCCAACTACAAAACTATAACTATAACTACAACTATAAGCAACCACAACCACAACTATACAACTACAACTATACAACTACAACCACAACACCAACTACAAAACTATAACTATAACTACCAACTACAACTATAAGCAACCACAACCACAACTATACAACTACAACTATACAACTACAACTATACAACTACAACCACAACACCAACTACAAAACTATAACTATAACTATAACTATAACTACAACTATAAGCAACCACAACCACAACTATACAACTACAACTATACAACTACAACTATACAACTACAACTATACAACTATACAACTACAACTATACAACTATACAACTACAACCACAACACCAACTACAAAACTATAACTATAACTACCAACTACAACTATAAGCAACCACAACCACAACCACAACCACAACCTCCAACTCACCGTCTCCGCAGGCATGGTTGTTGCATGTCTCGAGGGCATAGGGTATCAGGTTGGCATTGCATTCTGCAACAGTGGCCTGAGCACCGGATTTGTAGCATAAAATCTTCCTTGTTTTAGAACCACCACCGCAGGCCTTGGAGCACTGTGTTTGTTTTGTTTTGTTTTTTGTTTTGTTTTTGTTTTGTTTTGTTTTGTTTGGAAAGGGGGGGAAGGGGGGGGAGGGAGAAAAAAAAAGGAATAAGATTAATGGATATAATTATGGATTTAGGTTCATTGATTTTTTTTTTTTTTTATGAAGTTCAATCGTATTCTTGTTTGTTTGTTTGTTTTTTTTATGTTAATTAGATGCGTTAATATTTACTCTTTGATAATGTAAATATTTTTATATAATATAATATCTATAATATAATATATGTAATATAATATATATAATATAATATATATAATATAATATATATAATATAATATATATATAATGTAATATATATATATATTTTATATACATTTATGTTAATCAGATACGTTAATAATGTATATTTTTTATACTATCATATATATATAATATATATGATATATGATATATAATATACAACATATATAATATATACATATAATATATATATTTTATAATATAATATAACATTTTATATTATATCTTATAATACATATAATTTTTAATTACATATATTTTTTACGAATATATATATATATATATATATATATATATATATATATATATATATATATATATATATATATATACATATATATATATATATATATATATATATATATATATATATATATATATATATATATGTATATATATATTTATAATTTTGATATATAATTCTTTTTTTTTACATAATTTTTAATAATATATATATATATATTTTTTTTAAATATTCACATTTTTTCAAACATTAATGTATATAATATTTAAATACATACGTTTTTCAATTAACATATATGATTTTCTAATATATATATATATATATATATATATATATATATATATATATATATATATATATATATATATATAAAATTATATATATATAAAAAATCATATATATTTTTAAAATTATATATAATATCTAACATATAATTTTCAAATAGTATACATATGTTTTTTTTTTTTCTTTTAATAATATTTACAATTTTTAAATACTACATTTTTAAAAATAAAGTATTTCATTTTCAAATAAATATATAATCTCTGAAATATATGTAATTAAAAAAAAAACATATCTATATATACCTAACATTATATAAATGTATATATAAATATATACATTAATAAATTTGTATATAATTCTTTAAAATAATATATATTTAGCTAACATTATATATATTATTATATATAGACTTTTTAATAATATACGCAAGTTTTGAATAATAATATATATGATTTCTAGTAATAATATATACATTTTTTTTTCATATATTTTAAAAATCATTTCTAATATAACTTGATCCAACTCCCCCCCCCCACACACACACACACTACCTCTCTCTCCCTCTCCCCTTCCCTCCCTCTGTCTTCCCCTCTCCCTTCCCTCCCTCTGTCTTCCCCTCTCCCTTCCCTCCCTCTGTCTTCCCCTCTCCCTTCCCTCCCTCTCCCCCTCTCCCTTCTCCCTTTCTCCCTCCCTTCCCTCCCTCCCCCTCTCCCCTTCCCTCCCCCCCCTCTTTCCCTCTCCCTCCCTCCCTCCCTCCCCCCTCTCCATGTCCCTCTCTCCCCTCATCCTTCCCTTCCCTCCCTCTCCCCCTCTCCCTTCTCCCTCTCTCCCTCCCTTCCCTCCCTCCCCCTCTCCCCTTCCCTCCCCCCCCTCTTTCCCTCTCCCTCCCTCCCTCCCTCCCCCCTCTCCATGTCCCTCTCTCCCCTCATCCTTCCCTTCCCTCCCTCTCCCTCCCTCATCCCTCTCTCCCCTCATCCTCCCCTCCTCCCTCTCCCTCCTTCCCTCCCCCTCCCTCCCTTTCCCTCCCCCTTCTCCCTCACTCCCTTTCCCTCCCCCTTCTCCCTCCCTCCCTTTCCCTCTCCCTCCCTCCCTTTCCCTCTCCCTCCCTCCCTCTCTCCCTCCCTCCCCCCCTCTCCATGTCCCTCTCTCCCCTCATCCTCCCCTCCCTCCCTCCCCCCTCTCCCTCTCCCTCTCCCTCCCTCCACCCTCTCCCTCCCTTTCCCCCTCTCCCCCCCCACCCCCCCTAACTTACTTTACTCCACGGCCCGGCGAACCATTCACCATTCTCTTCTTCCTCCTCCTCCTCTTCTTTCTCTTCTTTCTCCTCTTCCTTCTTCTCTTCCATCTCCGCCTTCGTCCCGTTGCAAGCTTCCATTCCGCTCATCTTCTTTGCAGCGTTGCAACTCGACTCTGCAACACTGGCCACGGTTCCCTTCGTCGCGTCCCAGGAGCCGCAGAGCACGTGCCGCGTGCGGACGCCCTCGCCGCGGGGGGTCGAGCACTGCGGCACGTGGAGATACGTGAGGGGACGTGATACGTGGAGATACGTGATATATGAAGATATATGAGGATACATTAAGATACATGAGAAGACGTGATACGTGGAGATACGTGAAGATACGTGATACGTGAGGAGACGTGAAGATACATGAGGATACGTGATACATAGGATACATTAGGATACGTGATATATGAAGATATATGAGGATACATTAAGATACGTGAGGATACGTGATACATGGGGTACGTGAAGATACATTAGGATACTTGATTCATAGGATACGTGGAGATACGTGATACATAGGATACATGGAGATACGTAAGGATACGTGATACATAGGATACGTGATGCATGGGATACGTGAAGGTACGTAAGGATACGTGATACATGAGGATACGTGATACATAAAGATACGTGATACATAAAGATACATGAGCATACATAGGATACGTGATACATAGGATACGTGATACATGGGACACTCCACTCCGACTCACCTGACTCACCTCCCACTCCACCTGACTCACCTCCGACTCACCTGACTCACCTCCCACTCCACCTGACTCCACTCCGACTCACCTCCCACTCCACCTGACTCACCTCCCACTCCACCTGACTCACCTCCCACTCCACCTGACTCACCTCCCACTCCACCTGACTCACCTCCCACTCCACCTGACTCACCTCCCACTCCACCTGACTCACCTCCGACTCACCTCCCACTCCACCTGACTCACCTCCCACTCCACCTGACTCACCTCCGACTCACCTGACTCACCTCCGACTCACCTGACTCACCTCCCACTCCAGCTGACTCACCTCCCACTCCAGCTGACTCACCTGACTCCACTCGGAGGCGTACCAGCGGAACTCGCAGTCCGTGACGTCAGAGCAGTTGCGGGTGTTGGGCGGGCGGCGGGCGGCCTCGCAGAAGTCTACGGGAAGGACACTCCCCCTTTGGCCCACGCACAGCACCGGCCGCGTCTCCAGCAGCTGCCCGCACCCGCGCCCGCACTGGTGGGGGGGGGGGGGTTAATGAGGATTAATGGGGTGCATGAGTGAGGATTACTCATTTTCACCCTCATTCATTCACTCGTCTTTACTCATCTTTACTCACTCGCTCAACCCTCCCTCACTGACTGACTCATGCTCACCCTAGCTCATCCTGACTCACTCACTCACCCCTCCCTGACTCACCATGACTCATATTCACCCTTCCTCAACCCTCTGTGACTCACTCATTCATCCCTGACTCACTCATATTCATCCCTTCCTCAACCCTCCCTGACTTATCCTGACTCACTCACATTCATCCCTGACTCACCCTGACTCACTCATATTCATCCCTGACTCATCCCTGACTCACTCATATTCATCCCTTCCTCAACCCTCCCTGACTCATCCCTGACTCACTCATATTCATCCCTGACTCACTCATATTCATCCCTGACTCACCCCGCTCCAGTCCCCGGCCACCCAGTCGACGCCGCCGCAGGGGACGACCTCGCACGCCCTCTCCTCCTCCGGCTTCTCCTCCAGGCACTCCTCGTCGCCCAGTCACTCACTCATACTCACTCTCACTCATCCTGACTCATGCCGACTCACTCTCACTCATCCCGACTCACTCTCACTCATCCCGACTCACTCTCACTCATCCTGACCCACTCATATTCATCCCTGACTCACTCATATTCATCCCTGACTCACTCATATTCATCCCTGACTCATCCCTGACTCACCCCGCTCCAGTCCCCGGCCACCCAGTCGACGCCGCCGCAGGGGACGACCTCGCACGCCCTTTCCTCCTCCGGCTTCTCCTCCAGGCACTCCTCGTCGCCCAGGGCCTCAAGGCGACCGGTGGCACTGCGGCGGTGGCACGTGATCTTTCGCCTCTGCTGGCCGGGGCCGCAGAGCTTGGAGCACTGTTATGGGGGGGATGGGGGGGGAGAGGAAGAAGGTGGGGGGGAGGGAGGGAGGGAGGGGGAGGGAGGAAGAGGGGAAGGGGAGGGGAGGGGAGGGAGGGGAGAAGGGGGGAGAGGGGAGGGAGGGGAGGGAGGGGAGAAGGGGGGAGAGGGGAGGGAGGGGGAGGAGGAAGAAGGGGGAGGTAGGGAGGGGGGAGGGAGGGGGAAGAAGGGGAGGTAGGGGAGGGGGAGAGAGAAGAGAAAGGTTAGTTGAGTGAGGTGGGTGGTGGGGGGAGGTTGGGGGGAGGGGGGAGGGGGGAGGTGGGGGGGAGGGGGGAGGTGGGGGGGAGTGAGGAGGGGGGAGGTGGGGGGGAGTGAGGAGGGGGGAGGTGGGGGGGAGTGAGGAGGGGGGAGGAGTGAGGAGGGGGGGAGGGAGGGGGGGTGAATGGGGGTTGGGGGGGGGAGTGAGGAG